TATCTGGGGGGGGATCATTTTCGCGCCCAAACTCCGTCCAGTAACACACGCCAGGGCGACACTGCAAACGGAAATAAACTCCGTCTAGTCCAGTGACTTCAACCTCCGTCAAACGACGTTAATAGCTCCCCATAACAGAAACGCGATCTAGTTTTAGGCTGATTTGAATATAATAGAAACTTAGCCATTATTTTTTAGGATTGCATATGGCCTTTCTAAATTAATTTGTAAAACGGTGTTAACATTCAGGGCATTATTGAGTTTCCTTTTCCTCTAAAATTGAAACACGCAAATTTCATTTAAAGGGACGAAACATCGTGCAAGTTGCAAAAGCCGGGTTTATAGAAGAAAATGGCATGATCTTGCATGCATTTACAGTCCTATAGTATTGTCTACATTTGTAAACATAGTGTTACGTATTTACGTGTTAAGCCTTTAAACATTCATGGGCGTTTAAGTCCACAGAATAACTTATTTGTGAGAATTTAACTTCACAAATATAATAATAATATAACATCACGGTTAGAAGTGAAACTGAGTACACATAATAACATATGTGTGAAAATGATATAATGTGTTCTGAAACGCCCAGAGATATTTAAAGGCTTCTAAACTCTAGCACCCTGTGTCTACATATGATGACAATACTACAAGACTCTAAATCCACGCAAGATTATGCCATTTTGTTTAATGGGTTAGGGTTTTGCAGCTTGCACGATGATTCGTCCCCTCAAAAGCAAGTTGTTTGTTTCAATATTAGATCAAAAGGAAGGCCCTAAATGGAAACATTGTTGAACAAAATAATTTAATAAGGCCACATGCAATCTCAAAGAGCTTGAATGGAAACATTGTTTAACAGATTAATTCAATAAGGCTTGATGTAATCTTCTAGATATACTTGAATGGTAACATTGTTTAACAAATTCATTCAATAAGGCCAGATGCAATCTTCTGAAAATACTGGCTAAGTTTTTTTTCAATCAACTCACCCTAAAACAAAATCGCGTTTCTGTTATGGCGAGGTATTAGCGTCGTTTGACGGCAACTGACGTCACTGTACTAGACGGAGGTCGTTTCCGTTTGCAGTGGCGCTCTGGCGTGTGTTACTGGACGGAGTTTGGGCACGAAAATGATCTCCCCCAGATATCGAAACAGTGAGGTGCCGAGCCACCCAGAACGTGGTTTTGGCTCGGCAGAAAATAACAAAAGCGGTTGCGCACTGTTTCTCTGTGTGCAGCAGCAGTGGTTGGGATGCGCAGTGACTGACACGTGGATAAACGTGGAGCCGAGTTCTGTCCCAGCCCAATAAGTCTTCTGCCTGGGCGTCGAAACCTGGGAAACTCTGTGCAGGTAGAGATGAAGCTCCCTAGAAAGCGCAGGGTCGGAAGTACCCCTTCCGAAATAACTAAAAACCCCAACAAGAAAGAAGTCGGGAGATACTGCAGCAGTCGAACGATTTGACGCTGCCACGCAGAAATTTTGGGGTGGCAGCCGCCACAGCAGCAATCGCGACTACAAGACAAAAAAAATAGGTTGCTTCATGGAGTTTCATTCGAAGGTGTCGAGTCCCGGCGCCCAACGATTTACCTGCTTGAGGGATATCGAACCAGTTCACCCTGGGCGTTTTTCCTACGCACCTCAGCAGTGCTATTCCACCACCGACTACCGTTTCGACACTGCAGCTGCAAAAATTCGGAAGATGTTCCTCGGTATACGGGATGGCTGGAGCTTTCTACACGCGCAGCTATGCAGACTTTGGTGGGCAGTCACTTTCAAAGGGGGGGGCGGAGAGAGTGCTTTCGCACAGTATTCCCTTGGCTGTCAGACTTGAGCAGCGAAATGAACGTTTACAATTGAATTCATCGACATCGACAAATTTCTGCTCATCGATCTCTGACAGCGCGTCAGAATTCCCGCCACCATCGCGATCATCTTAACCGTCCGATACACATCTGCGACGTCAACGACTTCCATTCATTCGCGGAGTTCAACTCGACATTTCAATGACAACAACCCAATCGAGATCAACGGCTGACATTCCAACCCATTGCAAATTCGCCCAGTCAACTAGTCAGCCTCGCGTCAACTCGAAAGTCAAAGTGCTTCCGCGCCGTCAGATCAGTTTCGACAGAGTTCTGCAGATTTCACGCTAATGCTAGACTCGCCTACGTATAAGGGCAGCTTATTTAGACGTTGAGAGAGTGTAATGAATATGAATTGCAGTTTTCACGCTACTGCAAGACTCGCCTACTATAGAGGCTGCTCCTAGCGGGACAGCCCGAACTATTCGGATCAGTTTGGGTTCGGCCTACACTTCGGCCGAACCACATTCCGAGTCGCCCCGCACCAATCGCAACATTCCCGAGCCACACACATCACGAGGTTCTCGCCAAGCACGTATTTGCCCTATACTGTAAATGCCTGCTTTATTCATTGTCTCGTCATTCTGTAGTTTGATCCCTTTAATAAAGTGTTCCGGGCACTCTTCTTAGTACAACTCATAACACTTAGTACCATCCATACGGGTGAGTAATGCACTCGCTCTTAGTACCAACCATTTGGGTAAAATAACGCACTTAATCCAAGTACCAACCATACAAGTAAGTAACGTACTTACTCTTGGTACCAACCATATGTGTAAGTAACGCACTTACTCTTAGTACCAACCATATGGGTAAGTAATGCATTAATTATTAAGTAATGCACTCAAATTACCAACCAAATGGGTAGGTAACACGTTTACTCTTAGGGCCATATGGATACGTAACGCACTTACTCTTAGTACCATTTATTTAGGTAAGTAACGCACTTCTACTTCATACCAACCATATGGGTAGGTAACACACTTACACTTAGTACCAACATATGAGTAAGTAACGCGATTACTCATAGTACCAACAACATGGGTAAGTTACACACTTGCTCTTAGTACCACCCATATAAGTAGTACTTACTCTTAGTACCAACCATATGGGTAAGTAACGCACTTATTCTTAGTATCAACCATACGAGCAAGTAGCGTAGTTAATCTTAGTACCAACCAAATGAGTCAGTAATGCGTTCATTCAAATTACCAACCATATGGGTAAGTAACACACTAGTTCATGTTACCAACCATATATGTAGGTAACGTACCAATTAATATTACCAACCATACAGGTAAGTAAAGCATTTACTCTTAATGCCAACCATATGGTTAAGTAACGCACTCATACTACCAACCAAATGGGTGAGTAACACTCTTACTCTTAGGACCATCCATTTGGGTAAGTCGCACTTCTTCTTAGTACCAACCATATGGTTAACTTTCGCACTTACTCTTAGTACCAACCATATGAGTAAGTAACGCACTTACTCTTGGTACCAACAATATGGGTAAGTAACGCACTTACTCTTAGTACCAACCATACGGGTACCAACCATATGTTTAAGTAACGCACCTGATCTTAGTACCAACCATACATGTAAATAGCGCAGTTAATCTTAGTACCAACTGTTATGAATGAACTTGCAGAGTGCGCAGTAAAACGAATAACGAGAATTCTGAACTACTGAATGACGATACAAGGAAAGTGACGGGAATTTATAAGGGGAATCCTAGGCTAGGCGAAGAGGTCGGACTAGGATGGCTCGGAAAGTGTTGCGATTGGAGCGGTGGCGACTCGGAGGTGGTTCGGGGCGGAAATGTAGGCCGAACCGGATTGACGCGTGGTGTTCGGATTGTACTTGCTAAAATGCGAGTACTGTCAAACATTATACATGTTATATCTGTGTAGGCTATAGTGGGTTAGCCTATAGGAGGGTCACCATTCTAGGGTTGCATATTTGTACCAAACTCACTGCTAGTTGCCTCATTCCAGTCCGTTTATTCTGACATGGTATCAGAGCAGGTCCATCGCTAGGACCGTTCTTAGGGCCCACCGCTACCTACCTACCTACCTACCGTGCGCCTCTTGCGCCTACGCGCCCTCGTGCGCCCTACCCTACGTGCGCCCTCGTGCGCCCTACCCTACGTGCGCCCTCGTGCGCCTTTCTCTCCTTGTGCGCCTTCGTGCGCCCTCGTGCGCCCTCGTGCGCCCTCGAGCTGCCCCTGCAGGTCCGTCAGGCCACCGAGCCGTCGCTGCAGGCCTGTCAGGCACCTGAGCCGCCGCTACAGGCACGTCAGGCACCCGAGTCGCCGCTGCAGGCCCGTCAGGCCCCCGAGCCGCCGCTACAGGCCCGTCAGGCCCGAGAGCCGCCCCTGCAGACCCGTCAGGCCACGCGCGCCGCCCCTGCAGGCCCTAGCCGGCCGCCGCGTCGCTCTGCCCGCAGCGTCGCCGCCTCTCCGCGGCGTCGTCGCCTGCCCGCGTCGAAGCCGCCTGCCCGCGACGTCGATCCCTGCCCGCGGCGCCGTCGCCTGCCCGCGGAGACGTCGCCTGCCCGCGGCGTCGTCGCGGCGTCGCCACCTGCCCGCGGAGTCGTCGCCTGCCCGCGCCACATGCACGCGGCGTCGCCACCTCCTCGCCGCGTCGACCTGCCCGCGGCGTCGCCACCTGCCCGCCGCGTCGACCTGCCCGCGCCGTCGCCACCTAACCCTAATCCGTCGCCCTGCCCGCGGCGTCGCCACCTGCCCGCCGCGTCGCCCTGCCCGCGCCGTCGCCACCTAACCCTAATCCGCCTCTCGCCCCTGGAGCAGCCGCCACTGCAGTAGCAGCCCCTGGAGCCGCCGCCACTGCAGCAGCAGCCCCTGCAGCCGCCCGCCACTGCGGCAGCAGCCACTGGAGCCGCCCGCCACTGCAGCAGCCGCCCCTGGAGCCGCCCGCACCTGCAGCAGCCGCCCCTGGAGCAACTGCCGTCGTAGCCCGGTCTAGCTCTGCAGCAGCTGCCGCGGAGCTTCCTACTGCGCCTGCCACGCCGACCACTGGTGAGCATTGCCCTGCCAGCACTGCTACCGCTGCTACTGCTACTACTGCCGTTTCTACTCCCACTCCCGCTACTCCTGCTGCTCCTGACGTGGCCAGATGCAGCCACAGGACCGTGCGCGTGAGTCCCTCACGCTCCAGCAGGCTCGTGAGTGGTACGCCAGTTGGGGCTATCGAGGTGGCCGTAGTGGTAGTCGCTCTGACGTGCGTCGTTCGGGAGCCCCTGGTAGTGGACAGGTGCAGCAGCCGTGCCCTCCTACGGTCCAGCAGGCTCGTGAGTGGTACGCCAGTTGGGGCTATCGGGGTGGCAGTCGTGGTAGTCGCTCTGACGTGCGTCGTTCGGGAGCCCCTGGTAGTGGACAGGTGCAGCAGCCGTGCCCTCTTCTGGTCCAGCAGGCTCGTGAGTGGTACGCCGGTTTGAGCAGTCGGGGTGGCCGTAGTGGTAGTCGCTCTGGCGTCCGTCGTTCGGGAGGCTCCGGTAGTGGACAGGTGCAGCAGCCGTGCCCTCTTCTGCTCCAGCAGGCTCGTGAGTGGTACGCCGGTTTGAGCAGTCGGGGTGGCCGTAGTGGTAGTCGCTCTGTGAGTGAGGCAGCCGCTCTCGGTGCCAGTACGTCTGTTGCCCTCGGAGCAGGTGAGGCTACCACTCCCGGTACTCGCGTGTCTGCTACTCCAGGTGCTGGTGAGCCTACTGCTCTAGGTGCTAGTGCGTCTGCCGCTCCAGGTGCTCGCGTGTCTGCTACCCCAGGTGATGGTGAGGCTGCTGCCCTAGGTGCTAGTGCGTCTGTGCCCCCTGGTACTGAGTCGACTGCAGCACTGCACACCTTCACACTGGACTCAGGTGCTTCTCGCTCTTTCTTTCGTGACCGCACTGTCCTTGAGCCACTCGCTCGGCCAGTTGCTGTCTCCCTTGCTGACCCCTCTGGGGGTCCGGTCTTTGCGACCTCCTCCACTGTCCTTCCTTGTCCTGCGGTCCCGTCCGGCACGCTGTCAGGTCTCTACCTCCCCTCGTTCTCTACGAACTTGGTGGCAGGCCGAGAGCTCCAGGACGGCGGTGTTCACCAGTTCACCCCTGCCTACGAGCGCGTGACGCACTGCACGTGTGCTCGGACGGGTCGCCACCTGGCTACCTTCACTCGAGAGCCGGGGTCGGACCTGTACACACTGACCACTGAGTCCCCTCAGGTAGCTGCGTCTACGTCTGCGTCAGGTCAGCTGTCCGCCCCCTGCTCGTGTCGCTCTCTGGCGCATGAGACTGTCCTTTGGCACCACCGCCTTGGTCACCCGTCTGTGCAGCGCCTTCGGGCCATGCACAAACGGGACCTTGTTGCTGGTCTTCCCAGGGTACTCCCTCCCCTTCCAGACTCGCCTGCTCCTACCTGTATTCCCTGTGTCGAGGGGCGGCAGCGCGCCGCTCCTCACTCCTCCTCCTTTCCCCCGACGACTGCTCCCTTGCAGACGCTCCACATGGACGTGTGGGGCCCAGCCCGCGTCCGTGGTCAGGGTCAGGAGAGGTACTTCCTGATTGTTGTTGACGACTTCTCGCGCTACACCACGGTCTTCCCCTTGCGCGCCAAGGGTGACGTCCCTGATGTCTTGATCCCTTGGATCCGCAGATCTCGTCTCCAGCTCAGTGAGCGTTTCCGCTCCGACTTCCCTGTCCTGCGTCTGCACTCTGACAGAGGTGGGGAGTTTTCCTCTGGCCTCTTGGAGGCCTTCTGTCAGCAGGAGGGCATTGAGCAGTCGTACACGCTTCCGGCCTCTCCACAGCAGAATGGGGTTGCTGAGCGCCGCATTGGTCTGGTCATGGAGGTCGCTCGTACCTCCTTGAGCCATGCGGCTGCCCCCCATTTTCTGTGGCCGTTTGCAGTCCGATACGCTGCGCATCAGCTCAACCTCTGGCCCCGTGTCTCCTTGCCCGAGACTTCTCCGACACTGCGTTGGACGGGAGAGGCTGGCGATGCGTCGCGTTTTCGGGTCTGGGGATCCCGAGCTTTTGTCCGCGACACGTCCGCGGACAAGCTCTCCCGTCGCGCTGTCCCCTGCGTCTTCCTTGGCTTTGTCCCGGACGCCCCTGGCTGGCAGTTCTACCACCCCACCTCGCGTCGTGTCCTGGCCTCTCAGGACGTCACTTTTGACGAGTCCGTCCCCTACTACCACCTCTTCCCCTACCGCACTGCCCCGCTCCCCCCCCCGCCTCTCTTCCTCGCTCCAGGTGCTGAGGTACCAGACCCCCTCCCCCCTCAGGGTGCCGCTCCCTCAGGTGTGTCCCAGGTAGACCCGGGTGAGCCTGTCGAGGTAGCTGTTGACTCTCGTCCTGCTAGGGGTGCTGAGCCTGGGGGTGCTGCGTCTGGGGGTGCTGAGCCTGGGGGTGCTGCGTCTGGGGGTGCTGAGCCTGGGAGTGCTGAGTCTGGGGGTGCGGAGCCTGGAGGTGCTGAGTCTGGGGGTGCTGAGTCTGGGGGTGCTGAGTCTGGGGGTGCTGAGCCTGAGCGTGCTACACCTGGAGGAGCCCTCTCCTCCCAGCAGCTGCAGGAGAGGTACCTCGAGTACTGCCGCCTCCGGAGAGGTGCTGCTGGAGCTCGTCCCGGTACTTCCCCTCCTACCCAGGAGCTCCCCCCCATTCAGCAGATCCGCGAGTGGTACACACGGCGCTGCAGTCTTCGGAGTGGTGCTCCTGGTGCTGCCGACTCTGGGGGTGGCGCTGCTGCTGGTGCTGAGGACCCGAGCGGTGGAGCTGCTACTGGTGCTGAGGACCCGGGCGGTGGAGCTGCTGCTGGTGCTGAGGACTCGGACGTTGGAGCTGCTGCTGGAGCTGGGGACCCGAGCGGTGGCGCTGCTGCTGGTGCTGCGGACCCGGACGTTGGAGCTGCTGCTGGTGCTGAGGACCCGGGCGGTGGAGCTGCTGCTGGTGCTGAGGACTCGGACGTTGGAGCTGCTGCTGGAGCTGAGGACCCGAGCGGTGGCGCTGCTGCTGCTGCTGAGGACCCGGGCGTTGGAGCTGCTGCTGGTGCTGAGGACCCGGCTGGTGGAGCTGCTGCTGGTGCTGTGGACCCGGACGCTGGAGCTCCTGCTGGTACTGCGGACCCGGCCGCTGGAGTCTCTACTGCTTCTGGAGACGCTGCGCGGTACTTCGTACCGCTCCTTCAGCAGGTTCTTGGGCAGGCTCCTCCTCCTTGTCCTCCTCCCTCCGTAGAGTGTCCTCCGCCTGTCCAGCCGCAGTCACAGTTACCGCCTACCTCGCCTCTCCCTGCTCCCTCTCCTTACACTGGTCCCACAGGAGGTCTTACAGAGCGTCGTGAGCCTGAGTCTCGTCCTGCGTCGCCTGTTCGTACTGCTCGCACTGGTAGTCGTGTCCGTTGTGAGCGTCCTCCTCCTGTCCCAGGCACTCACTACATGACTCTGCGTCCCTCTACTGCTCCTCAGCGTGTCCCTCTACCGTCTCCTCCTTCGTCCTCTTTGCCTGACGTTCCGGACCCTGAGTCTGACCGGTATCGTGCTGAGCACCCTACTGTCACGCGTCTCCTAGCTACTGTTGTCACTGACCCTACCTTTGAGTCCTCCGCTGCGTCTGCTCTGGTCGCTGAGTTGGTTGACTTTGCTGCTGCCTGTCGTCTAGACTACGCTGCTAGCCTTGTTGCTGAGTCTGAGTCTGAGTCTGTCTGTCCTCCGTCCGTCGGGGGTGAGTGTGCTCTTGGCACGGACGTCCTTGAGGACAGACAGGAGGAGTTCCAGTGTCTTGCTGCTGCTTTGCCCCGTCTCGTGTCCCTGCTAGTTGCCCCTGAGGGAGACCCGGATGCACCAGACATCCCGACCCCGCGCACTTACGCTGAGGCGATGGCGGGTCCCTACTCCTCTCAGTGGCAGACAGCCATGGACGCCGAGATGGCTTCCTGGAAGTCCACACGCACCTACGTCGACGAGGTTCCCCCTCCTGGGGCGAACATCGTCAGTGGCATGTGGATTTTCAGGGTGAAGCGGCCACCGGGTTCTCCGCCTGTCTTCAAGGCGCGTTACGTGGCTCGAGGCTTCAGTCAGCGAGAGGGAGTAGACTTCTTCCAGACCTTCTCCCCCACCCCGAAGATGACCACTCTTCGGGTGCTGCTGCACATAGCCGCTCACCGCGACTACGAGCTTCACTCACTTGACTTCAGCACTGCTTTCTTGCAGGGCAGCCTGCACGAGGAGATCTGGCTGCGCCGCCCACCTGGCTTCACTGGGTCGTTTCCTTCTGGTACCCAGTGGAGGCTTCAGCGGCCGGTCTACGGTCTCCGCCAGGCTCCGCGTGAGTGGCACGACACACTGAGGACTACACTTGCGGCTCTTGGGTTCGCGCCTTCTACAGCTGACCCGTCGCTGTTCCTGCGCACCGACACTTCGCTGCCGCCGTTCTACATCCTCGTGTACGTCGACGACTTGGTCTTTGCTACTGCTGACACTGCAGGACTCGCCTACGTGAAGTCGGAGCTGCAGAGGAGACACACGTGCACAGACCTGGGTGAGCTGACAAGCTATCTTGGCTTGCGGATCATCCTCCAGCGCTTCCGCTTCACGTACTCCTCGCCTCAGTCCACTCCTCTGCCTACCGGTCACTCGCTCTCAGCTCTGCCTTCGGATGAGTCCGTAGAGCCGAGTGGCCCGTATCCAGAGCTTGTGGGCTGCCTCATGTACCTGATGACCTGCACTCGACCTGACCTTGCATACCCTCTTAGCATCCTTGCACGCTATGTCGCTCCTGGCCGTCACAGGAAGGAGCACATGGATGCCGCTAAGAGGGTGTTGCGCTACTTGTGCAGTACGTCGGGCATGGGGCTTGTGCTTGGAGGGCGAGACCGAGTTGTTCTCACAGGGCACTCAGACGCTTCTTGGGCAGACGACCAGGCCACTCAGCGGTCGTCTCAGGGTTACACCTTCAGCCTTGGCTCTGGCTCAGTTTCTTGGTGGGTTAGCCTATAGGAGGGTCACCATTCTAGGGTTGCATATTTGTACCAAACTCACTGCTAGTTGCCTCATTCCAGTCCGTTTATTCTGACAAGTACAGTAAGGAATTGTAATTCCTTACACTCTCCCACCTTCCAAAAAAAGCCTCCTTGTATGTAGACGAAGCCTTCATTAGTGAGTATGCCGTTGATTTCCTCTTCAGCTGAATCCGACGGCTGAAATTCCTTGGACAATAATTTTAAAAAGGTTAGAATATAGACCATCGATTAAGTGAGATCCCGATCTGACGGCTGCGGATGGCCTGGCCCTATTTGAATTGGAGGTTGGAATGTGGGCCGTAGATGAAGTCAGATTTCGATCTGACGGACGCGAATAGCTCTGGCGAAAACAAACTGAAAGTTGCAATTGGAGCCGTTGATGCAGTTTGGACTTGATCTGACGGTCGACGATGACGCGCGAATGTTGGGGGAACCTGCTGACGTGGTGATCAGTCGCGATGTACCAGGAACCATTGATTTTGATGAAGGCAATCACAGTCGTACGTTGTGCTGACGCATTGAGACAAAGTCAGAAATCGTGCCGAGAAAATGCCAAGGAAAGTACAATGCAGCGGGCCCTCCAAGAAAACATACCAGAAAAAGTTCCACAGCTGCACCGAGATGAAAACCAAACAAAACCGTGTGTAAAAGCACACGTAAAAGCGTAAATTCCCACGCAAAAGGGCGTCGGTGTGGGAAAACGATGACAAAACCAGAGTGTGACGTGCCCAAAATTCTTCAAGGGCGAACCAGCTGATGTAGCCCGAAACCTGCGGCCGAAAATCCATGTTACTCGAATTGAACATTTTTTGTCTTCACATCGCCGAAATCAAGCGATATCTTCAGCAGCTGCAACTGGCAGCTCCTGACGTGGTCACATTAAATGCTGTTGTCGTGGGCGGGTAGAGTGGGTTGATTTGTCGCTAGGAGAGTTGGAGTGGCTGTAATATTGGGAGTGTTATGAAAATGTCAGCGATGAATACGATTGGCGGCGAAGTCGAATACGAGAATTGGCGGCGGTCGATGCAGAAGTAACCAAAAGCGAATTTCACTTCAAAAATGTTGTTGAACGCCGATCCAGTGTCAGATGATGTCAGCACATTCGGCGGGTTTGTCCATACTCGCCGAGCATTTTGTCGCAATCCGCCGATGACCCTTGGGCAGAGATGAGTAATTTAAAGCTGTCTCTCCCCCCTCCACTGTTGCTGCCGCCTTCTTCAGTTCGTCGTAAGTCCTTCGTACCCCTTGAAAACTCCGTGTAAATGTCGCGGTGTTGCCCACATTGTTGTCGCGCGCATTTAACCAAACGTGGAAGAAATCCTACAAAATCGTCGGCGCTTCCCACCGTAAACTGGTAAGTCCCAACGGAAAACTCACAAAATGTCGGTCGAATCAAACCCCGTAATTCCGCAGTTGCAGGTGCAGCTCGCCACCAAAAATCTCGGACGTGCTATAGCCGCCCACTCGGTCACCATCAGTTTCCGTCGGTTTACCCGACCCCAGCATGTGGGTTTAATCGAGAACCGAGGACTGTCCGTGGGTATTCCGAGACCGAATTTCACGGAACCTAGTGGCATCAACGCCGTTGACCTCGTCATTGAAACTGCTCCTCCAATGAAGTTTAGCTGAAACCCACTTTTCTCCCAACGGCGTTTTGCATATGTGCCACCCATCGCTCATCGTCGGCAGGTAATTTCGGCTGCTCCCATTTTTTTTTTCCGACTCCCCGACAAAATCGCAAAATCGGCGTTCACCCAGCGTCCGCGTCGGTCGGCTGAAGTATAAGGGTGAAGCTCTCCTTTTTTTGGGTGTTTTTGACTCCCCGACAATATCGCGAAATCGCCATTTACCCCGCGTCCGCGTCGGTTGGCTGAAGTATAATGTTGAAATTCCTGCGCGATAATCCGGCTATGGTGAAAGCGCAAATGCTATCAGAGTCGGGGCAAAATAATATAAAAATCTCGCACCCAACCGCTTTTTCCCCCGACCTCAGATTCTCATGGCTTCTGAGCAACCCGTTCCGACCACCGTAGACTGCTATCGCATAGCGTCTCCCTAGGCTGCTGGCGGTTGTCCGTTAGGACAGAGAAATAACGTGTGTTCCACGTGATCCTTAGAGGATGCTGGCCATCTTGGCCATGTTTCTAGATAGCTGTATGGTACTGCTCTTTGTACACTAATTACGATCAATATATAATCTTAACCTTAACCAACCACTTTGCAGCCCACAGTGCATATCACGCCACAAAGCTCCACTGCTACCGGGTCCCAACTTCGCCGCTGCACCGTCAATCCGATTAGACGCTCGGGATAGGAGGAAACCGTAGACTGCAGCGCTGTTTTCGTCGCCGCTCCCCGACTTTTTTGCGTGCCGTTCACCCAGCCCGCTTTTGTCGGAGTAAAACAGTGCCGCAACTCCCTTTTTTTGGTATTTTCGTACAGCTGTCGAACGAGCACCAAACCAGGTGCCTTTAACCAGCACAGGGAAGGCATGTGTTCACCCCCGTTATTTGGCCAAATCAGGTCGACTGCATGAGTCGGAACCAGAACTTGGTGGGGATTGTGAGGTTCGAGTGAAGAGGGCAGTAGTTCGGTTCTACCGGCTTTTAACCTGCTCCCCACGACGTTCTTCAACCCCCGCTTAGCCGTTGGGCAGTTTCTTCTCGTGTGTCCCGGCAGCCTCTACCGACCCCTCCAAAATTTTGGAGCAGTACCTTGGACGACGTTTAATCGTGGGTCATTTGCAGCTGTCCCCGAAAACGGTTCCCTAGTCAGGAGAAACCGCTCTCGATACTGCCGGCCAGCTTGTAACAACACCAGGTACGCAGTGTCTCACGATTTTTTTCCGAGGTGTACCTGCCCCGATTTCCCTCATCACCTGTGCCCACTTATTCGTAAGTGCGATTTAGCCACCGCGTTTTCCGTTGCAGCCCGTAAGTCTTAGCAGGTATGAAGTCCCGTCTGTCCACATGCACTCCTGCCAAAATCGTCGGTGATACGCCCGCCATGCAATAAAAGCCACTGCACTTAACCGGTCGGGCGGGATGGCAGTTGATTCCCGCATAAGTCGGGCAGTCGTCGTGGCGTCTCTCCTCGTCACAGACTTTCCCGACGCAATTACTTTAGAGCCTGGCGAGTCCCAAAAGTTGCCCCTTGTTTTTTCTTCAACAGTTCCGAAATTGTCGCCCACAGTGACGCACGTCCGTTGTCAAAAGCTGCCGAGCCACACTCCGAGATTGTCGCGCAGTTGTTGACTCAGGTCGACGGCGTCAACTGCCACACACCATAACGACTACGCGACTTTCGTGCAGGTGCCGACGCAGGTCCGCTGACGCCAGCTGCCTCACAAAATCTGAAATTGTCGGTAAAAACGCAGCGAAAATAGTAACTCACGTTTTAATGTCGCGACAGCTCCAGCTGTCCGTTGCCCGGGGGGAGGGAGGTCACGGTCGATCGCGATCGTCGAAGGCAAGGATCCAGCGGTGCCGAGGAGTGCACGATAAATCCATGGCCGCGAAGTGTAACTAACTCGTTCTCTTGGCCGGCCTACACAGCTCCTGTACCCCAGGACATCCTTCCTCGTCCCCCCCCCCCCCGAGGGGTAATACACTCTAAAAATTCGGGAAGCTAGGAAAGTAGCTCTGATACCAGGTGTTATGAATGAACTTGCAGAGTGCGCAGTAAAACGAATAACGAGAATGTTGAACTACAAAATGTCGATACAAGGAAAGTGACGGGAATCTATAACGGGAATCCTAGCTAGGCGAAGAGGTCAGGCTAGGATGGGTCGGAAAGTGTTGTGATAGGAGCGTTGGCGACTCGGAGGTGGTTCGGGGCGGAAATGTAGGCCGAACCGGGCTGACGCGTGGTGTTCGGATTGTACACGCTAAATTGCGAGTACAGTAAGGGATTGTAATTCCTTACACCAACCATATGGGTCTGTAACGCATTCATTCGAATTACCAACCATATAAATAAGTAACGCTCTCAATCATGTTACCAACCATATGGGTAGGTGACGGGCTTACTCTTAGTAGTAACCGTACGGGTAAGTAATGCACGTACTCTTAGTACCATCCATACGGGTGAATAACACACTCACTCTAAGTACAAACCGTTTAGGTAAGTAACGCACTTACTCTAAGTACCAACCATATTTGCACGTAACGCTCATACTCTTGTTACCAGGGTTTCGAGTAAGTAACGCACTTACTCTTAGTACCAACCATACAGGTAAGTAACGCACTTACTCTTAGTACTCGTAGTTTCACACTTGCTGTTAGTACCAACCATATGGGTAAGTAACGCACATACTTCTAGTACCAACCATACGGGTAAGTAGCACACTAACTCTTAGTACCGACCATATGGATAAGTAACGCAATTACTGTTAGCACAACCCATATGAGTAAACTACGCACTTATTTTTAGTACCAACCATACGGGTAAGCTACGCACTTATTCTTAGAACCAACCAGATGGATTTGTAACGCACTTACTCTTAGTACCAACCATATAGTTAA